AGGAACCCTGCTTCCTGGCTGGCTCTTAAGCTCCCATCAGAAACCTTTCCCCTGCAGTCCAGGCCACCTTTCCAAGGATAGAATTGGTCACAGTTGGCTGGCCCTACCTTCTGTGAGCAATAAAGAATCTCCCCACACAGACATGCCACAGGCCAGTCTGATGGAGGCAGTTCCCTCTTCCCAGGAGTGTCAAGCTGATACTAAAGCTAAGCACGAGGCCACCTCTGGTTCATGTTTTCCCACTTTGCCCTGACATACACCCACTCGTGGGAAGTGCCAAATAACATAGCAAGGTTGAAGCTTCAGCTCCCAGAGCAGAGATCCGAGGACGAGAGGATGGACCTCAGGAAGGGGTATTTGAGAGCTGTGGATGAGCTCACCGCAAAACCCACTGAATAAACAGTGTGAGGAACATGAGAACTGGCAGAGTGGGGAGCCACCAGCTCTGGTCACTTCTGGGTGACCAGACCCGAACAGCAGTGAGGCTTGTCACAGAAGACAGGATGCGCAAAGGAAGGCTGAGAACAAGACTCCTTGTGCACGGCTGGGAGCCGGATGGGAAAAGCAGGTCAAATTCCCTAGTTAAAGCCAAAGCTGTGACCCAGCCATCCTACTTCTGGATATTTATCCAAAATAGGATCTCAAAAGATTTTTTTTCACACCCATGTTGCTTGCAACATGATTCACAGTAACTCAAAGCTGGAAGCAACCTAAATGCCCATTCCCTGACGCACGAGCAATACAGATGCAATGTAAACCCACCCTCGACTATGACCAAGCTTGCAAAATAAGGGCATCCTGCCCTGTGCTGCAGATGACACGGAGGAAATTTCATCACACATTCTTACTTCGACAAATAGATGAGGGCTCTAAAGGAGTGAGCCGCTTACACCACTGAGAACGATGGCCGCCATGGGCAACTAATGGGGGAGGAGACACCATCCTATTGGTCCCCAGGAGTCTTCTAGAGATCTGCTACCCTCACAGCGGTGTGCACAGAGTTAACACTAGCATACTGTCCACTTAGAAACTTGATGAACTGCGGTGTAGCTCGGTGGTGGAGCACTTCTCCTGGCTGCCGGGGCATGGCATTCAGTTAGACATCCTGACATGCCCTTGCCCTCGATCATACAGCTTAAGATAAAAATTTTACATCTTTTTGTTACAGTCTTTTAAAAAAAAGCTTTCTATAATAATGCTCACAACAGCCTTTTTCATGATAGCCCCACCAGGAACAATTTCAATTTCAAAATAGATTCTTAGATGGAATACTAATAAGCAATAAAAAGAAATATAATACAAATGACATCATAAAAGAAATGAAGGAGTCCACTGGTATGTCCATGAAGTGTCTAGGTTTGTTTGAAGTGTCTATTTTGAAATAATTTTTCTCATTAACATTCACTATTGGCAAACTGTTCGCATGTTTTGAATACCAGTTCATTGTCAAGTATACTTCTAAAGCATACTCTATCATGCCATGCCATTGTTCGATTCAATAGGACGGTTTATTTGATCTGACTTGATGTATACATGCTATCATCATGCCAGCATCAGAGGGTGCTGGGTCTTCTGAAACCGGAGTTGCAAGGTTGTGAGCCTCCCTTGTGGCTGCTCGGCACCGAGCCTGGTCCTCTAAAAGAGCAGCAAGTACTCTATCTAACCTGTTGCACCATCGCTTCAGCCCTAGTACAAGGTTTTGTGGGTTTTTTTTTTTTTAAACATGCCAAATAAAAGAATCTACTTCCAGTCAGGCACGAGGAGGCAGAGGAAGGGGAGCTCTGTGAGTGTGAGGCCAGACTGATCTGCATAGCAAGTTTTAGGACAGCCAGGGCTACATAGTGAGACACTATCTTTCTTTTCCTTTTTTTCTTTAAAAAAAAAAAAAGGTGGGTTGGAGAGATGGCTCAGCACTTAAGAGGGCTGACTGTTCCGTCAGAGGTCCCTGTTTGGGTGGCAGCATCATTCTGGCCCTTGCATCCATAAATACAAAGACTCTGGGATATTCGGATAGAGGTTCCATCCCAATCCTCCTCCTCTGGTGTTGCCTCAATCCAGACTCCGCCTCTGAGAAAGCATGCCAAATGATGACCCCTCCCCAGAATGCTCAAGACCACTCCCACAGGGTATTTAAACTGCCCCCCAGAAAACAAACATGTGGCTTTTCGGTCTTCCTTTCCTATCTCCTCATTTTTTGGGGGTGGGTTGGAAAGCCATCCGGGAACATGGTATCTACTAAACCTGGGCTTTTCCTAATTCGGTTTGATTTGGTCTGATTTGGATTATTTCATTGGCGGAGAAGCTTATTGGGGCACAGAGACTTTTCAGTCCTGAGTTCAGCTCCCAGCAACCACATGGTGGCTCACAACCACTGTAATAAGATCTGGTCCCATTGCATACATAATGAATGAATGGATGAAGAAACAAAGAAAAAAAAAGCTCTCCTTCTAAACCTTTTGCAGTGAGCTCTACAAAAGGCAAATTTAAGCTATGGAGATTGAAATCTGAACAACACAGGAATGGCGAGGAAGGGCTGACAACAGAAATAGTCTGTGTCTTGATGAGGGAAAAGCTATAAAGGAGTAAGGGCTACATGCTGGCCAAAGTTCACTGAGAAAACTGTGCAGTGTCTGTGCAGTTGTGTGTCAACACTCCCATCACTAAAGGAGAAATCACAGCAGTGTTGAGCTTTCAAAAGGCTGCTGTCCCGTGGCTGAGGAGGAGCGGGCCCAGGGAGTAGTGCTAACTCTGTGCTTGCAGAGGACCCACGATGGTCCCAGCACCCACACAGCACAGCTCAAACCTCCTGCAAACCCAGTTCCAGGGGATCCCATGCCCTCTTCTTGACTCCCCTGGCTCCTGCACACTCATGCTGCATGTAGACTCCTGCAGGCTCACACATATACACACAAATAAATCTTTGAGAGTGACTCCTACTGGTTATAGCAATAGTATCTTCTAGGCGGGCACAAACAGGCTGCCCTGTCTTGGGGCCCTGTGCACACACACCTTGAAGGTAGCGGGCAAACAGGAAACATGGCCTGAGGCTACGCTCACTGTCAAGGTCAAATCCTTCAGTGCTGCTGTTTCAGAGTGTTTTGCTGCAATACTAATGAGCAACCAAACATTCATTGTTGCATTTTTTTTTATCTCAATAAAGAGGAAATAATGCTGAAACTATACAATGTCAAGACACAGCATCTGTGTGCAGCAGCTGCTGAGAAGAGATAATACCATTTGCTTCTGATAAACTACTTTGCAGGAATGTCTCAAAGATTAATGAGTTAGCAGGCAGCTGGGGGGGGGCGACTACTTGTTGCTAACTCGGGTCCTTCAGGGCATAGTGAATGCGTCAGGCCACTAAGGCACTCGGCACACTTAATAAATAAGTAAATTAAATAAATAAAGCAAAGTGGTGGGCTTAAAAATTCATGTTAAGGTTTTATATATTCAGAATGTTGCTTTTTGAAGTATAACATATGCTTGAAATACACTAAAATCCACAGCTTTTACTCTGCGAGTTCCACATCACAGCTCCCCCTTTGGGAGTTTACCATCAGGAGCCCAAGGATAAACACACGCGATGTGGTCACCGCCTCCAAGAGTCTTGTGAGCTGGTGAGGAATCAAGAAGTGCAAACAGACACAAGTGCAAGATGACAGCGCTTCTACATTTCCGACGGTCCAAGTATTAGAGAAATGCATGGACTAAGGCACCTAATCCACGGGAAGAGAACAGTGGAGAGGGCAGCAGGAAGCCTCTCGGGAGCAGAGGCATCCGAACAGACCAAGTCTAGAAGAGTGTGGTCAGTATCGGAAAAGGACCTCTAGGGGAAAAACCCCACGCAACCCAGGAGTCAGGAAAAAGGAATGACCCATGGTGACAAATCAAAAAAGTCAAGATTACAGTGGTGCCTAGCTGCCACCATCTTGTGGTGTCTCAGATGACATCAGCAAGAGGGGACTCTGTGACATGATGGGAACAGGTGAAGAAGGGAACACGCAGGCTGTGTTCTCTGGAGTCATGACTGCACGGCCACCACCAGCTCTGCTGACTTCCAGAGCCACTGACGATGTCCACCCCTTCCCAGCCACCAGGCCACACCAGCCTGGACTTCGCTCTACTCTTTCTGGGACAAGAATACAGAACTCCAATCAGGAGTAGTGTCACAGGGAGAGGCACCCAGTGGCCCCCCTTGACCTAGACTAGATTATAAACTCATTGCCTGCCTCACAGACAGTCCAGATATCCTCATCCTCTGTCCCCAGAAGAATAGTTCCTTTAAATATGTCCCAAGTACTTAAGTGGGCACTCAAGTTGAATACTAGTCATTAAAAAACCAAGAATTTTTGGTTGTGAGCCTAGCCTTTAATGGCTGAGCCATCCCTCTAGACTCTCTGCATGTGTGTGACAGTTATGTAGCTTGTCTGTTTGTAAGGCTCCTACCAGTGAGATCAGGACCTGTCCTGGTGCTTAGCTGGCTTTTGGGAACCTGTTCCATGCTGGATTACTCCGCCCAGCCTTGACACAGAGGGAGGAGCTTGGCTCTCCCTCAACTTGTGCTATGCTTTGTTGACTCCCATGGGAGGTCTGCCCCTTTCTGAACAGAGATGGAGGAAAAGTGGAGGGAGGAAGGTAGATGGGAGGGGAGTCACCAACATGGAACTGTGGTCAGCATATAAAACAAGTTTTAAAAATGCGAATTAAAGCCGGGCGGTGGTAGCGCACACCTTTAATCCCAGCACTCGGGAGGCAGAGGCAGGTGGATCTCTGTGAGTTCGAGACCAGCCTGGTCTACAAGAGCTAGTTCCAGGACAGGCTCCAAAACCACAGAGAAACCCTGTCTCGAAAAAAAAAAAAATGCGAGTTAAAATGTAAAAACCCAAGAATTTAAAATAAGGCAACTTCCTTTATAAAATGTCCATCTTTTTGTATGAGTGACTGCAGGTTTTTGGAGGTTCAATTTCTGATATGCTGTATTTCACCAAATGAACACTTACTGTTGATGTGATCGATGTAGTAGGCACCAATCTGAGGGTCAAACCCTGCTTCCCATCCCCATGGCAGCTCATCCCCGACACAGTCAGCGAAGGACAAGGGCTTCGTTAACCTACAACAAACCAGAAGAAACACACCGTCACAAGTCGATCAAATCAGCCGTGTCAAAATGCAGGTTAATTCTAACTGTGAATTCAGCACCCAGGTTACATTTTCTTCTCGTTCTCAACTGTTCCTAGAATTTGCATTATCGCATCTGAGACTTGTTTTCAAATTTCATTTGTGTATGTGTGTGTACATGTGCATGAGCACTCAAGTGAGTGTAGAGGAGAGATGCCCTGAGTTACAGACAGTTGCGAACCAAACAACATGAGTTCCCTAGGAACCAAACTCTGGTTCTCTGGAAGAGCTGAAGTGCTCTGAACCTCAGAACTGTCTGTTTCTTTTCAAGGACAAAATAACAGAAGCGAATATCTAAACATGTAGAAGAGATCACTCCTAAAACCAGAAGATGAAACTCTACTAACGAGGCAGGCCATCTTCAGTCTCAGAACCCCAGACGGTCAGGGAAGAGAGCTGGGACCTAGCTGGAACAGTGGAGCGATGCAGACGTCCCAGTAGGAGTAAAAGCTGCCCCAGGATTCAAACACTATCATTCTAGAACTGATATAGGCACTTCTGAGACAAAAATATGCATCAAGAGGCTGGGGGAGGGCTCTGTCGACAAAGCACTTGTGGGGTTCAGACCCAAGCCACCACATAAAACTGAGTGGAGCTAAAGTCCACCTGGATCCAGCATGTGGGAGAGAGGGGTTTCCCAGGAGAGCTGGCTAGCTGGACCAATAAAAGAGACAAGCTCAAGATTAAACGAGAGACCTTGCTCGGTAAATTAAGTGAAAAACAATTAAGAAAGACCTCTGGCCTCTACACACGTGCACTTAAGTACAAGCACACCTCACACACATCCAAGCATGCAAACACGCATTTACCCCAAAATGTGTGTGTGTGTGTGTGTGTGTGTGTGTGTGGTGGCTACTCTCTTTAAACATACATCTCAGGCTAGTCCAGTTTCAGCTGTGGGTAGTCTGGCTGATTTAAAGGTCTAACTATGGCACCTGCTCTAAGGTCTCCCTGAGAGGAAGGACACACATCTGATGGGACCATGCGCATTCAGTATTTGTACATATATCAACACAGTCTCACCTTTTAAAACTGCCTTAGGCTTTTTCTCTTAGGAGAACTTTCTGGAGACATATTCTCTTTAAGACTAACTCCACGTTGTGGGGTAAAGGGAACACTCCTGCAATGCTGGTGGGAGTGCAAACTGGTACAGCCCCTTTGGATATCAGTGTGTTGATTTCTCAGAAAATTAGGAAACAACCTTTTTCAAGACCCAGTAATACCACTTTTGGGTATATATCCAAAGGATGCTCAACTGTGCCACAAGGACATGTGCTCAACTATGTTCACAGCAGCTTTGTTTGTCATAGCCGGAACCTGGAAACAACCTAAATGCCTCTTATCCGAAGAATGAATAAGGAAAATGTGGTACTTTTACACGATGAAATAGTGCACAGCAGAAAAAAATAACAACATCTTGAATTTTGCAGGTTAATGGATGGAGCTAGAAAACATCATTTTGAATGAGGTAACCCAGACCCAGAAAGACAATTATCACATGTACTCACTCATAGGTGGTTTCTAATCATAAAGCAAAGAAAACCAGCCTAGAATTCACAATCCCAGAGAACTTAGAGAATAATGAAGAGCCTAAGAGAGACATAAAAGGATCTAATCTACATGGGAATTACAAAAAGATAAGATCTCCTGAGTAAATTGGGAGCATGGGGACCTTGGGAGAGAGTTGAGGGGGAGGGGAGAGGCAAGGAGGGGAGCAGGAAAAAATTGTAGAGCTCAATAAAAATGGATTTTTTTTTTTTTTTTTGTAAAAAAAGACCAACTCCACTTTACCACCTCTCTCTCTAAAACTGATGAGGGTGGACTACGCGGTCTTCCTTCAGCAGAATATGGTCTAGACATAATTCCAGATTGACCTTTCCCTTCACATGCTTCCTTTAGGTTCAGGGATGTCCCTCGGCTGCTGAAGCAGTCATGGCAGGTTGTTGCTGCAGGTTGGCAATGCCCTGTCACAAGGAAGCCGCCGTCAGTCGGCACATCTTCTGATTGACTATGACTTCACAACACTGGCATGGCTCTTCCATACGAAATCACCCAGCGTCCCTTCTGCCAGTGCTGAGGCAAAGCAAAAATCTCATATAGATTACTTTCCAAATCACTTCATCTATCAGAAAATGGCATGAGAATTCCCAACGGCCCGTCAAGGACACAAGACCCTGACACCGCTTTCACTTACCCTTCACAGTCTGGAAATGGCTTCAATAGAGCACTGGCCTCTGAAGCCCACAAAATCCATACTGAGGGCAAGCAGCTCTAACACAGCCAGGATGTGAGTTTTGCTAACTGGGCATCTCCTTGATTTCTCTCTGAAGGTGGCAATCATCCTGTCTCCACATGCCCTTCCTGCAACTCCTTGCCTAAGACTCACACCAGGACAGAAAGGGATTATACAGGAATGGTTCCTATGCTACTATAAGTGGATATCAGGACAACCCAGCATGAGTTCTCCCGTTGGCTCCTAAGCGGCACTGAGGCCTGTTCCATGTCACTGTGCTACTGAACAGAGCCCCTCAAGATCTGCACCATCAACAGGAGCACACATCTTGGGTTCTAGGGTAGATCTACAAACTCTGTGTCCTAGCAACTTTCTAGGTATTTCTCTCCAGGTATTTCTACTGCACGAGAAGGCTTAAGAGCCTCTAACTTATAAGTTTAAGAGCTTAAAATATGGCACCAAAGAGATCTGGGTTCAAACCCTTGTCCTGAAACATACCCACTATACCACCTAGGGTAAGTTATTCACTGCAAGAGTCCAGTCCATGGAAAAGGACAGTTGGGGGGATTGAAATGGGGGCTAGTTAGTTTTATGCCGACTTGACACGAGCTGGAGTCATTTGGGAAGAGGCAGCCTCAGTTGAGAAAATGTACAGGACAGATTGGTTTGCAGGAAGCCTTTTGAACATTTTCTTAATTGATGATTGATATGGGAAGGCCCAGCCCACAACTGGGCTGGGGGCCCTGGGAGTTGGAAGACAGCAAACTGAGCCAGCCGCCAGCCATGAGAAGGAAGCCATCAAGTGACACTCCCCCACGGCCTCTGCATCAGCTTTTGTTCCGGGTTCCGGCCCTGGCTTCCCTTCATGGAGGACAGTGACCCTTTTTTTTTTTTTTTTTGCTCTTGCTCTTGGTGTTTTTAATGACAGCAACAGCACACTAAGACAGCTAGACAGGGTAGGGCCTGGTGAAGAAGAAACTTCAAAATGTGCTGAAAGAGTTAAATGAACCTGAAGCTGTGGAAAGCAGTGTGCTCAAACGCAACAATTTGCCCAGTTTGCTGAGCAATCGTGGAGTAGGCCTCAATTTGAGTTAAAAAAAATCATCCTGGGGGCTGGAGAGATGGCTCAGTGGTTGGGAGCATTGCTTGCTCTTCCAAAGGTCCTGAGTTCAATTCCCGGCAGCCACATGGTGGCTCACAACCATCTGTAATGAGGTCTGGTGCCCTCTTCTGGCCTGCAGACATGCACACAGACAGAATATTGTATACATAATAAATAAGTAAATATTAAAAAAAAAAATCATCCTGTTAGAATTGTACTCAAAATCTACCTATGTCATAAGCTGCCCAGGAAAACAACATTTTTCTTTTGATAAAGGAATTATATGCCATATCAAAAGTTCTCATGCCAAATAAAGTGACCCTGTCTACCTCCGCAACCCAAGGAATGCCTCTTGACCTCCTGTCCAGAAGCACCTGTGTGCGTTGCCCAACTCGATTTGAGGACTCTCGTTTCCCTACCGTCTGAAGGAGGCTGTCAAATGGCATACAGCCTGAAGAAAGAGGAGCGAGGAGACGGAAGGGCAAAGTTAAATGACAAGAGAAAGGCCGTATACCTGAAAGCTGCCAAATCGACACACGGAAACCCGAGTGTGGCTGGCATATCACTACCAGAAAAAGTTCAAAAGCTTCGGGCCGTGTGCAGTGATCACAGGTGTGACGGCCTTGTTAACATTACGAACAGTTCTGCTGTCCCTCTGAACTGGTTAGTGAGCACTCATTGGCCCGTCACTGTCGGAAGAGCAGATTGCACTTGGCAGGTAGAAATTGGACTGGGAGCTCAGGGAACCAGTCCTTCAGAAGTTCTCATTCATGAAAATGCTAACGCAAAGTCCTCTTTACAGAGTCCCTTCAAAATTAGACTTCATGATTTATTTTCTGCATCTGGACAGCGTAATTTCTGAGTACTCCACCTATAAGGAACACCACTAAGCACAGATTATAGACGTCCAAGTTTAAAGACTGACCATCAGATTAGAACACTGTCCCCAGGCACCAACACACAAAATCAAGTCGACAGCTGTGCTGCTATCCTGACAATGGAAGATCACTGTGATAGAAGAGGAACTTCTTTCCTGTGGCCTAGGAACACCTCAGTCCCCATCCTAACGAAGTCTCTCCCCAAGCCCCGCCCACCTCTACTTCGGACAGCTGCTTCCTAACAGCTCGCTGATGGCATCCTAACCACTAGCTGATTGCAGCCTGGAAACGATAACCTGGAGGGTTCAGTCGCCCTCGGCGCCTGGCTCTGTAGTTACCTCATGAACACATTCTGCAAAAGCAACACTTGAAAGCAATTGGTTTTTGAAATAGCACATTATTTATGCTGTTGTCTGGAGACCAGATATGCTCCTGACAATAGCTTCAGTGCTTACAATCGTCTGTGCCCCCCACCCCAATCCACTGGGCTAAGTGAAAGGAAAGCGTGATTCCATCGCACACAGTAAACGTGCAATCCATAAATCATATGACCAGAAGGTGGACGGGGAGAGCGTGGGACAGACAGACTCCTGATGGGCTCCGTGGAGAAGTGGGAATCTTTCAAACTGAACACAGGTAGGTCTGGGGTTGCCCAGAGCTGTGGCTGCATTAAATGTCATTGTATTGTTCACATAATAACTGTTAATCCCTGTCACATA